CACACACACACACACACACACACACACACACACACACACACACACACACACACACACACACACACACACACACGGCTTCCTTCTGTGGTATTAGTGAAGGGTCTATGAAACAGAAAATCTGATTGGGAATAGGTTATTAATTGATATAATTAATGTACCATTAATCTCACTATGCACCCTCAGAACTAGCTTTAATGTCAACTTATTCATTCTGCAAAGTGAAGTTTAGGGATCCAAGATAAAAACAATGGCCAAAATCATCGCTTAGAGAAGCTTGGGTTCGTCTTCCTGTAATTTTGTTGGTGCGTTGGTGGTAAAGATAGCAATCATTAAAGACAACATCTTGAGTTCAAACAGGTCTTTCCTGCACCTCTCTTTTTCCTTGTATTTGTTATGTCATCACCTTCTACAAATACCCTTATTCAACCCAACATGCATGTGGTATGAAAGCAAACTCGAGTACCTGAAAAATGCGTTTTTTTTATTCTGAACGCAAAATTCAGCTTGAGTTTTTACACATCTGGCTTTCTTCCATCAAAACAATATTTTAGATCAGATTATATCACATTACCAAAACAGGGCTTTGGCAGCAGTTTGTTCAAGTTTCCCTTCATCCATTTTGCAGCTACATTTCACTTTCTTTTTTCCCTTTTGCTAATTTGATCAGTGGTTTAAGCACATAATATGCTCAGAGAATCCACAAATATTTTGGTAAAAATAAATAAAAAAAATTGCACCGGAGTGCAAACAAATTCCTGTGCTCTTTCAGCTCACTGCTTCAAAATAATACAGATGTGAGATTGGGAGCAATTCCCAGCATGCCTATGATCTTTTCCAAGCAGCTGTTTCCATGTTGGTTATTAAAGAGACTAAAAAAAAAAAAAAAAAAAAGACACTTGCTGAGAGAAAAAAAGCCAGAAAAAAAAGGTTGTTGTAACCAAGTGAGAACAGAGAAACTAGAAAAATGATGTGCAACAATACCCAAATGGGTGGGTGCGTGGGGGACCAGATCACATAAATTTCGGAAGGGCCTAAAGCCAAGTACACAAGGGAATAATTACCCTTTAACAGACTGCGGTAATATTGAAGTAAGACAACATGAAGGGTTTTTTCCTTCTTTTTGATGCACTCCACACCGCAGCATTCAGGGACACTCATGTTTACCTGAGGGAGAGAGAGTAGTCGTTTCGGCACGTCTGGCTATTTCTCACCAGGTAGGAGCTCTCTTTGCACAGAGTCAGCAGACTTTCTGCTTCTGCCCGGCTCAGGGCTCCATGGTACCACCTGCAGGCAAGCAGCAGGACAGCATAACACAAAGCTAAACATTTTATAAAGTCATAACTGCATTAATCTTTTCATAAAACAGTTGCAAAATTTTATACATTGTTTACAGCAATGGTCATAAGTGCATATCAGCCAGCTTTATATCAGCGTGAACTTAAAATATTTGTTTTCCTTTTGTTGTTGCTGATGGTAACCCATCACATTTAGGATGTGAAACGCAGAAGACAAGACAACACCAAACATGTGACAGTAATCGCCACAATTTCTTTATAATCAAATAAAAAAAGAAAATAAGCCAAGCCGAGTGCGGCTGGTTGTGTTTTGCAGATGCAAATGCGAGAGGAAATGCAAAGCTCCAG